ATGAGCAAATTCGCCGATGACACAAAGATAGGTAGGATAATTTATTCAAACGTAGATGTTATGGAACTTCAGGAGGATTTAAACAAGCTCTATTCTTGGTCAGAAAAGTGGCAGATGCAGTTCAATGTAGATAAATGCAAGGTTCTGAAGCTTGGGAGTGCCCATAACCCTAGTACTTATAAGTTAAATGATGTAGAACTTAGCCATACAGATTGCGAAAAGGACTTGGGGGTTATGGTGAGCAGCAACCTTAAACCAAGACAGCAATGCCTAAGCGTACGTAATAAGGCAAATAGATTACTGGGATTTATATCAAGAAGTGTAAGCAACAGAAGTCCAGAGGTCATACTGCAGCTTTATACATCATTAGTAAGGCCTCACCTAGATTATGCAGCTCAGTTCTGGTCTCCATATTACAGAATGGACATAAATTCGTTAGAAAACATTCAGCGTAGGATGACTAAAATAATACATAGCATTAGAAATCTTCCTTATGAAGAAAGATTGAAGACTCTTAAGTTACATTCACTTGTTAGACGAAGAATGAGGGGAGACCTGATCGAAGTGTATAAGTGGAAGATAGGTATTAATAAAGGGGATATTAATAAGGTCTTGAGGATGTCTCTCCAAGAGAGAACCCGCAGTAATGGATTTAAATTAGATAAGTTTAGATTTAGAAAGGACATAGGAAAGTATTGGTTTGGAAATAGGATAGTTGATGAGTGGAACAGTCTACCTAGTTGGGTTATTGAGGCTGGGACTTTGGGTAGTTTCAAATTTAGGTTGGATAAGTACATGAGTGGGAGGGGTTGGATTTGAGTGGGACTTTCACATCAGAGCTTATTTCTTGGGTGGCATTGAAAATTGGGTTGGGCAAATGTTTTGTTAGTGGGATGAATTGTAAAGGACCTGCCTAGTATGGGCCAACAGGCCTCCTGCAGTGTTCCTCCTTTCTTATGTTCTTATGTGTGAGCGTACTTGTGCCTCATACAGAATCTTGCAACCCCTACTGTCAAGCAGATGCGAGATACGTCGAAATGCTGTATGCTTACTGGCTTCCTTGTTTGCAAGATTTACAACGCGGTTCTTCATTGTCAGTTTGAAGTCATATTTACCTCAAGGTTATCAATTTCTTCCCCAGGTACCAACACTCTCCCATTCATACTTACTACTGCTCCGGCATTACCATCATGGTACCTAGAGACCATCATTTGTGTTTTCTCAGGTGCATATGTTACCTGCCATCGGTTTCCCCTAGCTTATATAGATCTTAGCTGGTAATTGATGTAGCTTAGAGCAGCTGGCATTTCTTCTCTTGGATAAGTAAATGCCAGAGTACAGTCGTCTGCATATGTATGGGATTCTGCGAAGAGATGAAGAAGGTGATTGAAGTAGACATTCCATAACAATGGTCCAAGCACACTTCCTTGTGGAATACTTTCCCCACTAGGATGTCTTGCTGATTATGTTCCATTGAGAACTACCCTTAGAAGGTAATTGCTGAGGAGACATAGCACAGAGCCTGCAATTCCCAGTACTTGCAGTTTTGCCAAGAGGCCCTGGTGCCACACTTTGTCGAAAACACCAGCAATGTCCAGTGCTACCACACAGCTGACTTTGGATTCATCCGATGACTGGTGCCATTTAGTGGAGAGGTTTAACAACAGATCAGCAGCAGAATAACCTTTCCTGAAGCCATAGTGAGGGTCACAAAGTAATGAGTGGTAGTCAAAAAACTCTCTGATTTGTCTTGAGATTATTGTCTCAAGGCATCTTGCAAGTGATTGACAAGAGTGATACTGGTCTGTAGTTGCTGATTTCTGCTCTGCTCTTCTTTTTGTGAGCAGGGACTACATTTGCCTCTTTCCACAGAGATCATTTACACTGTACCAGGCAGTGCTGAAAGATGCGAGTTAGAGGTGCTGCTAGCTGGTCTGCACATCTTCTCAGCAATCTTGGGCTCAACTTGTCTGGGCCTACAGCCTTTTCTTGGTCAAGCGATTTAAGAAGAAGATGCACCTCCTCCTGCCTTATTGTCACTACTGGCAGTTTTGACACAGTTCTTGCAGCTAGCCAAGTAGGGTTCCTTGGTGGATTAGGAACTTGCATTTTGGTAGCATAGTGTTCGACAAAGGTGGTCCCATCCTGTCGATTTAGAGGTGGAATAAGTTCATCAGGTAGATAACCTTGTCTGTCCTTGACAAGGGACCACCAGATTTTGGAGCCTACTCTACCTGATGCTAGCTTTCTTTTTGTGTCCACCTCCCATTTAGAGATGGCCCACTTTTGAACTTCACCCATATGCCTACAGGCTTGCCTGTGCATGTTCCTGTTATAGGTAGTAGGGTGTCTCATACCTTCGCCATGCCTTGCATTTAGCAGTAGCAGCCTAACTACAACGAAAGCCAAACCAAGGCTGATCTGTAAGCCTCGTCACATACTGCCGGTGAGGGATGTGTTCTTGTTGTAAATTAAGGATGTGTCCAGTGAAGGCATTCACTTGGTTGTCAACATCCCCTTGGAGAAGAGCATTCCAATCGGTGGCGGCGAGCTCAGAGCAAAGTCCTAGTCAATTACCTCTTTCCCATGGCCAGGTTGTGCATGTGGACTCCTCACTTCGTTCTTGTTGGGCCCGCCTCGTTCTGTTGGGCCTGGCCCCTCCTCTTCACTGGCCGCTACTGGGTCACTCTCACTGCACCATGAGCTTGATCATACCTCTGCTTAAAGATGAATGGATCCTGCCTCCACTACATCGCTTCCCAAACTATTTCACTTCCTGACTACTCTGTGACTGAAGAAATAATTCCTAACATTCCTGTGATTCATCTGTGTGTGTGTGTGTGTGTGTGTGTGTGTGTGTGTGTGTGTGTGTGTGTGTGTACTCACCTAGTGTGGGTGTGTGTGCTCATTTGTGTGTGTTTGCTCGTTTGTGTGTGTGTGTGAGTGCGCAATCGTGTGTGTGCGCGTGAGCGCGCGATCGTGTGTGTGTGCGCGCGCGCTCGTGTGTGTGACGCAGTTAATATTTGCACTAATAACTCATTACAGTTGTGACCGGGTGTGGACGTGTGAATGGCTCATTACTTTGTCATTTGTTCATGATTGTAACCATGTATAGACGTGTAGATGGTTCATTATCTTTGTAACTTGCCATGATTGTGACCAGATCTACCTGGAGTTCATTACCTTTGTAGCTTGTTCAGCTATCAAAATTTTGGGGCCCAGTCCCTGGACCCTTGGGCATGACCTACTTCCACATTCGTCAAATGTAATACCACCTACGACTGCTGCACCTCTCCTGCCTACAGTATATAAACCAGTTCTTCGCACATATGCCGTATTCTTTTCAAGATTGATGGACTGGCCACATCGACTCAAGGCTGAGGGACTGACTATCTCAAACTCCTTCTGTTCTTCACCAGTCTCCTTTGTATAGACTGATGAAGCCACTGTGTGGCAAAATGTTTCCTCATTAAAGATACCAAAATGTTGCACGTGTCTAATTTATTATCCTTGTTCATCCTGGGTAGCATCCTTGTTCATCCTGAGCATCGTTGTTCATCCCATGGAACATTGGTGCCCCGTGGCCTGGTGGCTAAAGCTGTCGCCTCACACGGCGAGAGTCTGGGTTCGATTCCCGGCGAGGGTAGAAACACTGGTCCAAGTCGGACCGAAACGTCGTCGTAAGCTCGTCTCTCCGATGTGCGGGTTATTTGTGTATTGTTCCAGTCACGGTATTATGCCCTTTTCTGATTTTTGGGCGTGTTTCTTTACACCGGTTGTCTACGGTGCCCCGTGGCCTGGTGGCAAAAGCTCTGGCTTCACACGGTGAGGGTCCGGGTTTGATTTCCGGCGAAGGAATGGAAACATTGGGCGCGTTTCTTTACACCGGTTGTCTACGTTCAGCCATCAGTAAAATGGGTACCTGGGTGTTAGTCGACTGGTGTGGGTCGCATCCTGGGACAAAACTGACCTAATTTGCTCGAAATGCTCAGCATAGGGGGGTTTTCTGTATAGTTGTATGTCATTGATGTCAGCTAGGACTGTATACCTTGTACATGTACTTGTAGTAAATAAAGATATCGTCTTGGGTAGCATCCTTGCTCATACTGGGTAGCATCCTTGTCCATCCTAGATAGCATCTTTGTTCATCCTGGGTAGCATCCTTGTTCATCCTGGGTAGCATCCTTGTTAATCCTGGGTAGCATCCTTGTTCATCCTGGGTAGCATCCTTGTCCATCCTAGATAGCATCTTTGTTCATCCTGGGTAGCATCCTTGTTCATCCTGGGTAGCATCCTTGTTCATCCTGGGTAGCATCCTTGTTCATCCTGAGTAACATCCTTGTTCATCCTGGGTAGCATCCTTGTTCATCCTGGGTAGCATCCTTGTTCATCCTGGGTAGCATCCTTGTCCATCCTAGATAGCATCTTTGTTCATCCTGGGTAGCATCCTTGTTCATCCTGGGTAGCATCCTTGTTCATCCTGGGTAGCATCCTTGTTCATTCTGGGTAGCATCCTTGTTCATCCTGGGTAGCATCCTTGTTCATCCTGGGTAGCATGCTTGTTCATCCTGGGTAGCATCCTTGTTCATCCTGGGTAGCATCCTTGCTCATACTGGGTAGCATCCTTGTCCATCCTAGATAGCATCTTTGTTCATCCTGGGTAGCATCCTTGTTCATCCTGGGTAGCATCCTTGTTAATCCTGGGTAGCATCCTTGTTCATCCTGGGTAGCATCCTTGTCCATCCTAGATAGCATCTTTGTTCATCCTGGGTAGCATCCTTGTTCATCCTGGGTAGCATCCTTGTTAATCCTGGGTAGCATCCTTGTTCATCCTGGGTAGCATCCTTGTCCATCCTAGATAGCATCTTTGTTCATCCTGGGTAGCATCCTTGTTCATCCTGGGTAGCATCCTTGTTAATCCTGGGTAGCATCCTTGTTCATCCTGGGTAGCATCCTTGTCCATCCTAGATAGCATCTTTGTTCATCCTGGGTAGCATCCTTGTTCGTCCTGGTACAGTAAGAGAGGTTACCAGGGTGGCCGCCAGGTGGCTCCTCACTCACAAGACAGCACCGGCTGGCGGCTCTGACACCGAACTTTATTTCAGGTAACATAACCATCCATTAACGGCTTTTGCTGCTTCTCTTATAATATTTACCCGCCAGGGTGTATGTCGCATGCTCGTGGTATATGTCTGCTGAGTATAAGTCGTGCATGTTGGAGTAAATGGCGGTGTATGTCTTGTGGGGCCGTGATCAGCTGATAGTGTAGTCGATTCTCATTTCTCAGGAGCTATGTAAGTTTATTCAGGTATATATAAATATAGTTATGTAGATTATCATACATAGCAGCGTATGTGTAGAGAACCTAGGATAACCTAAAAAAAGTTAAATTGACTTATTTCCATTGGGATCCTTTTTAATATTTGATTATTATACTATAAACCTGAACGGGTTTAGTGTTTTTTTCCTCCTCGTTTAAATAAAAAAAATCGTAGGTTGTGCTATTCGTACTCAACAAATTCGTATTCTACACGGAGGTTAGATTGTTCGTGTAACCTACAAGGACTGTTTTTTGGTGTTGATTGTGATCCAAGGAATTGGACTGTTCACTTCTTCCTTGGATCGAACCTCGTTGCCTGCCATCCCCCAGGTGTTGCATGACCCCTGGGGGTTCAGGGGTTTACCCTAAATATAATAATGATCGTGTAACCCCCAATGGAAATGTTATTAACTTTTTTTGTTTCCTCTGGTTATCTTGGATAATTAAACGTTACTAGGTATGATGATTTTATTTGTGTACCTAAATAAACTTGCTGACCTTACAGGGAGGTTCAACACCACTGAAGGGATGATTCAGAGGGACTCTCCCTTTCCTTGCAATTAATTGATATACCTTTGAAGAATTTCGAGTTTCACTACTATTGGAGCCTGGCCATGGGCCAGGCTCACCTGGTGCTTGCCTGGTCAACCAGGCTGTTGCTGCTGGAGGCCCACTGCCCCACAAATCCCTCACAGCCTGGTTGATCTCCACTGCCCACTGGAAAACCCTGCTTATGACTTCCTGTAATTTTTCAGTGTCCTCTACCGTAGTGACTTTCATGCTTATTTTAGTGTCGTCTGCAAATGATGATACAAAAGTGTGACAGGTGTTTTTATCCATGTCTAAGAGGATGAGAAATGGCAGAGTTGTCAGGACAGTGCCTTGGGGCACTGAACTTTTTACCTTGCTGACACTGAATCTTGCTCTGTTTGCTACTACTTTTTGTTGTGTGTATTAGGAACCTGAAAATCCATCTGCCTACCTTTCCCATAATACTCGTGGCCCTCATTTTGTGCGCTATCACTCCATGGTCACATTTGTCAAACACCTTTGCAAAATCTGTGTAAATCACATCTGTGTTTTGGTTGTCTTCCAGTGCCTCCGTAATTGTCATAATGGTTCAGCAGCTGTGACAGGCATGATCATCCTGTTCTAAAACTATGCTGGTTTGGGTTATGCTGGTTGTGCTGGTCCATGAAATTTGTAATCTGCCATCTCATCATGCTTTCGAAAATTTTTATGATGCGAGAAGTTAGGGCTACTGGTCTTTAATTTTCAGCTAGTGCTTTGCAACTTTCCTTATGCAAAGGAGCTACATCTGCACTCTTTAAGGCCTCCAGTATTTCATCTAGATCTAAGCTCTTTCTCCAAAGAATACTGAGGGTTCTTGCTAATGGTACTTTGCACTTCTTTATAAATAGGGCATTCCATGAATCTGGTCTGGTGTTGAGTGAGTGGGCGTGTTATCCATTTCTTTTTTGAAATCTATGGGATTTGTACTGTCAGTAAATTGGTCTGTGCACTCTTCTATTGGAGTGGAAAAACGTTTCTGCATTTTCTACCTTGCTGTCATTTAGTAGGCTGCTGAACACTGACTCGTACTGTTCTTTTAGGATTTCCCTCATTTCATGTTCATCATCAGTATATGAATCTCCTCTCAATAATGGTTCAATTCAATTCTACAGGTAGTTCTCAGCTTGGATTTTGCATAGGAATAGAAATATTGGCCTGTTTCCTGTTTCTCCAGGTGATTGTAACAGGTTTAGTGCTCCCTCATGACATGGTTAAAATAAGTCAGATAATCGCCTTGCATAGAACATAATTGCCATCCATTTCCTAGGTGCTGCATCACCCTTATGAGCCTTTAAGATAAGATTTGTTTGTCTTTTATCCTGGGGATGGTTAGTCACTCAGGATAACCCAAGAAAGTAAGTCTGGCATAGAGGATTCTGTCTTATTTCTGTTTGGGTCCTTCAATCTTGTCCCCCCAGGATGTGACCCACAACTCATTTCTAGGTGTAGTGACAGCAGGTGTACGTAAACATGTCCAATGTTTCCACCCGGCCAGTGATTGAACCACTGACACTCAGAGGGTGAGGTGAGAGCATTGCCAACCAAGGCATGGAGCACCTTCCCTCCTGCAGCACTGTATGACCCTTACTGGTTAAGCACTGGAATTGATTATAACAACAATAATGACCCTATTTAGTTCATCAGTTCCCATTGAATAGCTGATGATGATAATAATAATAATTAATAATAATAATAATAATAATAATAATAATAAATAAAGATAATAGGGCAATGAATCCAATGAAAATTCACTGACTTTAGGGTTTTCTTGGCAAAATACTTCTAGTAATTTTGTAGACAGTTTAATGTTAACTGTTTCACAGTACAAGCTCTATTTAACGGGCCCCTGATTTTCCGGCAGTGGGATTCCATATTTAGCAGACAAAATCTGTGCCTGGATAGCTTCTGGAAGAAATTTACAAAATTCATTACATCCAGAGTTATTAATTTGCTGACTAACTTTATCTTGATTTAGTGAATAAAGTCCATTAAATCCAGAATTCTTTGCTATTGTTAGTCAGCTGGGATAATTTATTTCTGAATGAACACTGTTGTCTATAATAAACATTCCCTCCCCATTGTTAATCGTTAAATTGAGGTTTCACTGGAATGGCCAGTTTTCGGTGTTTCAGATTTTTTCAGCTTGTCCTGACCTGCACCCATATCCAGGATAAATTTTACTTTGAAAAACTTTCTTAGTTTTCATATATTTTTTTTTTAAACTGGACTACCATAATAACCAGGAGTAATGTACATGACCTTATATAAGAGCCAGACAGGGTTTTGTGTGCCTGAGACAAGTGTTGCCTGGCTGTAGAGGACCATTATTCTTTGCATTTCTTGATTATGGCACATTGTTATAATAATGAAGAATTATTGAACAATAGGGCAGGCTGAATTAACAGTTTTCAATACATTAAGATAAATGAATGGCAGAGTACCAAAGTGCAGGAAAATAAAAGGCTCAAAAAGGGGGAAATATATAGTTTGTTATACTTTAAAAAAAAAAAAAAAACTCCCAAAGTAGGATAGCAAGGTTAAAATAAATGAAGTTTCCAGAACAGTAGGGCAGGATTACTGAACAGCTTTTGTTACAACAGGATAGGATGGATGAACATCTTTTATAACAGGAAAGAATTATTGAAACATTTTTTATTATAACTGGTAAAATAAATAAATAGATTTTGTATTTTGAATGGCAGGCTTACTGACCCACTCTGTGATTGCGTTGCAAACCTGCAGACCATTGGTAGCAATAGCCTGGATGACCGGGTAATCACAAATTCTAAGTCTGGCTATGGGTCAGGCAGAGAGAGTGGAATAATTATAAAAACCATATCAGCAATTCTTAGTCCTGCCTTAAACTGTTACCTGGATTAGGCAAGGGCAGTTAGGTAGCATGTGTGTGGTGATTAGTAGTAGGAGGATGATCAAGCCTCCTTGAGCTGAGTGACCATATAGGCTTAAAAAAGTTTGTTTTTTGCCCTAAAGGAATCTGCATCATCTGATTTAATTTGCTTTGCAGAATGATTGTAGCCAGGCTTATTCCCGAAGCAAAATCACTGCGCACAGCATTGTGTCGTAATTATGGTATATCTGCTGTGCTTTTAAAGAAGACATCGGATCCTATCCAGCAGCTGTTTGTGGAAAAAATTCAAGAATATTCAAAGAAGAGCAAGTATGTTAACACACACTTTTTAATATTGTAGACTTTGGAATTTATTCTCAGTAATAGAACTTGATACAGTACTATCTCTTAATCTTGTATCAGATTTTCCCAGGTTATATGTTGAAACTTTTATAAAATAGTGTAAGAGGTACATTGTATATGTACTTCATTGAGACAGTGTTTCACCATGTGAAATGTCATAATAGTAACCATTCTGCCTTTGTATTTTTGTATGGGATTATTCATTACTTTAACAAACTCATTGTTGGACAACAGTAAATCCCACGGGGGATTGGGAGTTTTCCTAAGCTACTAAATTTTTGGTACAGCCAATCATTTATTCTTGAAACTTGCTCATTTCTACATTCACTTAACTTTTCTTTCATACACCTTTCATAGCTCTTCTATCGACCCTTGCAGCATCTTCTAAATTGCTATGTAGTGGTCTTTTTTCTGGAAACTGCCCCTCCCCCTCCTGTATGGCTTGTAGCATGCCATTGACTGTAGAATGCGTTTTAATGGTTTGCCTATGGCTTAAACCTTTCTGCCTTTGTCATGGCTTTTATAATTGCAGGGGTACCTGTAGGGCTCTCAGAACTTATAGGATCTTGTTACATTAATAGTTTAGTGGGTTTTTAATTGATGTTAGTCATATATTTAAACTTTGTATAATGGTATTTGTGTTATTTGTAATAGTGGTACCCCGAGTTTCAGCCATAATTCGTTCCCGAAGGCTGTTAAAGTGCCGTTACTGAATGGATTTGTTCCCATGAGGAATAATGTAAATTAGATCAGTCCGTTTCAGACCCCCAAAAATATGCTTTCAAAAGCATTTACTATAATACACTTGCATAATTGTTCGAGTTGGGAGCTGCACAAAACTCAGGGTACCACTGTACAGCCTCTCCTCACTTAATGACAGAGTTCCGTCCGTAAGACCACATTAGTAAACAAATTAGTCATTGAGGAGCATACTATAATGGTAGTGGGTTTATGTCGGCCGTCTTTGACATTGTTTTAATGTAACCTTTGTACCATTTATAACATTTCTGGTATATTTTTTAAATGTTTAGTGTACTTTATATTCTAATAAAGAGAATAGAAGAAATCAACTCTAATATACATTATTTAGGTATGCATATTGGTCAGAGAGCCTGTCGTAAGTCCGAGTCGTCGGTAAACGAGTACGTTGCTAAGTGAGGAGAGGCTGTAGTAGCGTTTATTTGTTAATTTTATCAGTTTTTTTTTATTGATGCAAGTGCTGAGTGACCTACATGATCACAAATATCACAACTACGACCCTCATGACTGTGCTTTACTGATCAAGACCAGTGTGCTTGGCACCGTTACTTTTTGTACCAGATCCCCTATTTGTGAATATAAGAGCAAAATTGTTATCTAGCATACCTGGAGAGGGTTTCAGGGGTCAGCGGCCCCATGGCCCAGTCTGGTTGGTTCCACCACTAATTGGCTTAAAGTGAATTTATCACAATCTTGAGAGTTCATTTGTGTGGCTGCTCATCTGAACTGCCTCCTGGGAATTTTTTTCAGCTATTACCTTCATTTTTATATATATATATATATATCATCACACACATTTATTATCAGTAAGTTGGCCAATTTCACACAAATTTCAAGAGATACCAATTTCAAAATAGGGTCCAGAAGAAACGATGCAGACATTCCTGGCCCTAAAATAACATTTTTCTTTGTTCATTAGTTGCATCTTCAGGCCCATCTTGTATTACGCTTACTTTCCTTTTTTTTTTTTTTTTTTTTTTTTTTATTCACACAAGAGATTTACTGATATGCAGACTACTGCATTATTGTAATATTGTACAGATAATGTTAACCCATTCATGACCACGTATTAGACTGGCCAGTTGGACATGTATTGGACGGTGACATCATTTGTTCACTCTTAAACATTGGCAAAAATCAAACATTTCTGCTATTTTGAGCTCAATTTCAAGGTACTTTCCATTATGAAACCAATCAAAATCATATCTATTTCTGTAATTTATTTTCCATTCTATCAAATGAGACCAAAAAAAATGAGGATACATACAACCATAAAAACCATACTAAAATACAATGCAGAGTAGTGTTTTACACCAAAAAAACAGTCGCAGTATTTTCTCATTATGCACTGCGTGCTGCAGGATTTTTTTTTTATACGTGCCACACAGACCTGTTCTCTCGCATATAGGCCTAAATTACTGGTCTCAGCTGATGAGTGAACCTGAGCTCATGGCGACCGAGAGTGGCTTCAAAGCCACCTTATCTTTTACGGATAATGTACGGTGTATGTATGTGCTTTACACAGCGAGAAGCATTTCTTTTATTCATTGGAACCATGGCTAGGGCTAAAAGTGAGCAGGTTATAACAAATGGAGAAAACAAATTGGAATGATATATACAGCAAGTAGTGCCATCAAACAGTAGCGTCAGGTTAGTGTGGTGATGCCCAGAAATTTGAAATTATGCTGGCTGAAATTAGTGCTGGATTACTGATAGAACCAGATTACCGATTGCCAGATTAGTGATGGCTAACCTGCATTATATTATAGCCAAATAAAGTAATTTAGGTTACATTGGTAAGTACTGTATCTCCCTGTTACAATAACAATCATAATCTTAGATAATATTACTTAAAACACTAAACAGGCACCAGATAATATGTATATAGATGTATGTTATATCTTGCTTAACATGTACTGTACCTATGTAGGCTGGTGGAAAATGCATTGTCTTTTAAATTAATTGCATTGTCCTTAGTCATCAAAATTTACTTTAGGGCTGCTGGTGGAAAGTTGGTAGATGTTACCCCAGACATGGAGAAGCAGCTGCAGCACGAGCTGGACAGAGTTGCTCGTCAGTATGGAGGTGGTGCAGGAGTAGACATGACGAAATTCCCAACTTTCAAGTTCGAAGGTTTGTGTGTTTTTTTTTTTTTTTTTTTTTTTTTCCAATTTATTGTATTTACATAAATTTATATATAAAATATTACTTAGATACCTAGCATAAATAGTTGTCATTTTCATTGTGATAAAGCATTTCAATTGTTAATATAGTAAACTCCAGTTTTTTTTTCTAAATTTTCTAGGTGAAAATTAGACACGTGCAACATCTGGGTATCTTAATTGTATATGTTTTGCCATCCAGTGCCTTTATCAATACAAATTCAAGGATGTAATTGGAAGACAGTAGAAGTATATACAAAAGATGAAGTAATCAGTCCCTCAGCCTTGAAGTTAGTGAAGAGCACCATAGTCATGAAGTCTTCATAACTACAGTACTCTTCAACTTCAAGGCTGAGAGACTGATTACCTCATCTTTTGTATATACTACTTCTGTCTTCCAATTATGTTCTTGAATTTGTATTGATAAAGGCACTGGATGGCGAAACATATACAATTAAGATACCCAGATGTTGCACATAGCTAAATTTTCCTCTTATCGGTATTGTGTATCATTCATATACAAATTTCTTAGGTTAACATGTACTTTATGGTACCCTAGATTTGCAGTTCTGTTTATTGCTATACAGTTCTTGTAAATATAAGAGTGTACAATAATAGTATAGTAATGCTATACAAATCTTTTGAGTTTTCCAAATCCATTAAATTGATTGATTTTATGGCAGCATTTTCCCTGCACCCCATGTTCTAAATAGTCATGGTATGGAATTATTTATACCCACATTGCCCATTATGGCTTTTGCTATGTACCGTGCTGATTAATTTCCATTACAGTGGAACCCCAAATATCGGCTATAATCCGTTCCAGAAGGTCGGCCTAAATTCAAAGCAATATTTCCCATTAATTAACATATACAATTAATCCGTTCCAGACACCCAAAAATATTAAAAAAAAAAAAAAAAAATACAGGTCTCCCTCCACACTCACAGGCTTTGAACATTCATGAATGCCCAGCCGCCCAATCGTATTTAAAATGTCATTATGTATGTTAGGAATTGTGGCAGCAGCAGAGTTTTTGGAGGCAGGATAAGATAGTCTTTCAATATGACACCAATATCAACTCTACGGCTTATTTATCTAATCACGGTTGATCTAATATGTCATAATAAACAATAACAGTAACTATTAATAACAGTAATAACCACCCATTGTTAATATTATTTTTTCTTTTTTTTTTTTTTTTTTTTCAACAAGTCGGTCGTCTCCCACCAAGGCAGGGTGACCCAAAAAAAGAAAGAAAATCCCCAAAAAGAAAATACTTTCATCATCATTCAACACTTTCACCACACTCACACATTATCACTGCTTTTGCAGAGGTGCTCAGAATATAACAGTTTAGAAGCATATACGTATAGAGATACACAACATACCCCTTCAAACTGCCAATATCCCAAACCCCTCCTTTAAAGTGCAGGCATTGTACTTCCCATTTCCAGGACTCAAGTCCGACTATATGAAAATAACCGGTTTCCCTGAATCCCTTCACTAAATATTACCCTGCTCACACTCCAACAGATCGTCAGGTCCCAAGTATCATTCGTCTCCATTCACTCCTATCTAACACGCTCATGCACGCTTGCTGGAAGTCCAAGCCCCTCACCCACAAAACCTCCTTTACCCCCTCTTTCCAACCCTTTCGAGGACGACCCCTACCCCTCTTTCCTTCCCCTATAGATTTATATGCTTTCCATGTCATTCTACTTTGATCCATTCTCTCTAAATGACCAAACCACCTCAACAACCCCTCTTCTGCCCTCTGACTAATGCTTTTATTAACTCCACACCTTCTCCTAATTTCCACACTCCGAATTTTCTGCATAATATTTACACCACACATTTGCCCTTAGACAGGACATCTCCACTGCCTCCAACCGTCTCCTCGCTGCTGCATTTACCACCCAAGCTTCACATCCATATAAGAGTGTTGGTACTACTATACTTTCATACATTCCCTTCTTTGCCTCCATAGATAACGTTTTTTGATTCCACATATACCTCAACGCACCACTCACCTTTTTTCCCTCATCAATTCTATGATTAACCTCATCCTTCATAAATCCATCCGCCGACACACGTCAACTCCCAAGTATCTGAAAACATTCACTTCTTCCATACTCCTCCTCCCCAATTTGATATCCAATTTTTCTTTATCTAAATCATTTGATACCCTCATCACCTTACTCTTTTCTATGTTCACTTTCAACTTTCTAACCTTTACACACATTCTCAAACTCATCCACTAACCTTTGCAATTTTTCTTTAGAATCTCCCATAAGCACAGTATCATCAGCAAAAAGTAACTGTGTCAATTCCCATTTTGAATTGATTCCCCAAAATTTTTAATCCCACCCCTCTCCCGAGCACCCTAGCATTACTCTTTACAACCCATCTATAAATTATAAAACAACCATGGTGACATTACACATCCCTGTCTAGACCTATTTTAAAACCGGGAAGTATCTCCTCTCTTCTCACACCCAACCTGAGCCTCACTATCCTCATTAAAAGCTCTTTACGCATTGTAATTTAAACCACCTATTCCATATACTTGCAACATCTGCCACTTTTCCTCTATCCACCTATCAATGCCTTTCTAATCATAAGCAATAAAACTTCCTAACTTTATTCTAATACTGTTCACATATATGCTTCAATGTAACACTTGATACATCCCCAAACCCACCTGAAACTCCTGCTCACCGCAATTCTACATTCTGTCTTGCCTCTAATCTTTATTATAACCCTACCGTAATTTTTCCCTTTGGATATACCAGTAAACTTATCCTCTAAAAATTTTTTACAATTCTTTGTCCCCTTTCCTTATATAAGGGACTTAATTGTTTCCTTCTGCCAACCCTAGGTACCTTCCCCTTTCTTTACATTTATTTAAACAAAGTACCAACCACTCCACACTATATCCCCCCCTGCTTTAACATTTCTGTATGATCCCCTCCGTTCAGCTGCTTACCCCCTTTCATTCTACGTAATGCCTCACTCTCCACCACCTTACATTCTGCTTTTCCCACTCCTAAAAGATGGTATACCTCCCTGCCAGTGCATAAATTACCGCCTCCCTTTTTCCTTAACATTTAAAAGTTCCTCAAAATATTCCTCGCCCATTTTACCTAATACCTCCCTCTCCCCATCTACTACTCCCCTAACTCTGTTTTAACTGCAAATCCAACTTTCCCTAGCTTTTCTTAACTTGTTTAATTTCACTCCAAAGTTTTTTTCCTATTTTTCATTAAAATTTCTTGACATTGCCTCTCCCCACCTTTCATCTGCTCTCCTTTTGCACTCTCTCACCACTCTCTCTCACCTTTCTTTTAAACCTCCAATACTCTGCTCTTCTTATAACACTTCTGCTTTGTAAAAACCTCTCGTAAGCCCACCTTTTTCTCTTTTATTACACCCTTTACTTCATCATTCCACCAATCACTCCTCTTTCCTCCTGCCCCCACCCTCCTATAACCACAAACTTCTGCCCCACATTTTAATACTGCATTTTTAAAACTATTCCAACCCTCTTCCAACCCCCCCACAACTCATCTTTGCACTAGCCCACCTTTCTGCCAATAGTCGCTTATATCTCGCCCGAACTTCCTCCTCCCTTAGTTTATACACTTTCACCTCCCTCTTACTTGTTGTTGCCACCTTCCTCTTTTCCCATCTACCTCTTACTCTAACTGTAGCTACAACTAAATAATGATCCGATATATCAGTTGCCCCTCTATAAACATGTACATCCTGGAGCCTACCCATCAACCTTTTATCCACCAATACATAATCTAACAAACTACTTTCATTAACGTGCTACATCATACCTTGTATATTTATTTATCCTCTTTTTCATAAAATATGTATTACTTATTACCAAATTTCTTTCTACACATAGCTCAATTAAAGGCTCCCATTTACATTTACCCTTGGCACCCCAAAATTACCTACTACTCCCTCCATAACATTTTTACCCACTTTAGCATTGAAATCCCCAACCACCATTACTCTCACACTTGATTCAAAACTCCCCACGCATTCACTCAACATTTCCCAGAATCTCTCTCTCTCCTCTACACTTCTCTCTTCTCCAGGTGCATACACGCTTACTATAACCCACTTTTCACATCCAATCTTTATTTTACTCCACATAATCCTTGAATTTATACATTTGTAGTCCCTCTTTTCCTGCCATAGCTTATCCTTCAACATGATTGCTACTCCTTCTTTAGCTCTAACTCTATTTGAAACCCCTGACCTAATCCCATTTATTCCTCTCCATTGAAACTCTCCCACCCCCTTCAGCTTTGTTTCACTTAAAGCCAGGACATCCAGTTTCTTCTCATTCATAACATCCACAATCATCTCTTTCTTATCATTTGCACAACATCCACGCACATTCAGACTTCCCACTTTGACAATTTTCTTCTTCTTATTCTTTTTAGTAATCTTTACAGGAAAAGGGGTTACTAGCCCATTGTTCCCGGCATTTTAGTTGACTTTTACAACACGCATGGCTTACGGAGGAAAGATTCTTATTCCACTTCCCCATGGATATAAAAGGAAAAGTAATAAGACCAAGAACTATTAAGATAAAATCAAAGAAAACTCAGATGAGTGTGTATAAATAAACGTGTACATGTATGTGTAGTGTGACCTAAGTGTAAGTAGAAGTAGCAAGACGTACCTGAAATACTGCATATTTATGAAACAGACAAAAGACATCAGCAATCCTACCATCATGTAAAACAATTACAGGCTTTCGTTTTACACTCACTTGGCAGGACGGTAGTACCTCCCTGGGTGGTTGCTGTCTACCAACCTACTACCTTAATATTAATATTAATAACAATGTTAATAACAAGTGGTGTTGTGTTGTTGGTTGTATAAGGGCCACTGAGAGCATAAGCCGTTCGTGGTGGTGAAGGCCAGCAGAGGTGGCGGTGTTCTCAGTAACCCTATATACGCACCCCAAACACATTGGAGGAGTTAGGTTCGTGCTGTCCTTTTTTCTATTGATTAATCACATAACTTACTTGCTGCACTGTTAATGCTACACTTTATCGCTGGCTTGGCGCTATAGCTTTTATTGACTAGTGCTGCTTTAGTATCATACATATCGTAGAATCACTGAAGAAGGCACATCCTCCCCTCCCTTCCTCCTCCACTTTGGTACTCTTAGCAGAGTTCTTTCTTGAATTCTATAGTCTTTCTCACCTTTACCAAAGGGCTGGCACTAGTACAATATTTTAAAATGTTTTCATGTGTTTTATGGTATTGTTAGTATTGTTAGGCTAAGTAATTTTTTTTTTTTAACAAGTCGGCCGTCTCCCACCGAGGCAGGATGGCTCCAAAAAGAAAGAAAATCCCCAAAAAGAAAATACATATACTTTCATCATTTCAACACTTTCACCTCACTCACACATAATCACTGTTTTTGCAGAGGTGCTCAAAACACAGCAGTTTAGAAGTATATACGTATAAAGATACACAACATATCCCTCCAAACTGCTAATATTCTGAAACCCCTCCTTTAGAGTGCAGGCATTGTACTTCCCGTTTCCAGTTTCCCTGAATCCCTTCACTAAATATTACCCTGCTCACACTCCAACAGATCTTCAGGTCCCAAATACCATTCGTTTCCATTCACTCCTATCAAACACACTCGTGCACGCCTGCTGCCAAGTAAATGCTATTACAGTGGACCCCCGCATACCGATTTTAATCCGTGCAAGAGGGGTCATTGTTATGCGAAATAATCGGTATGCGAATGAATTTTCCCCATAAGAAATAATGGAAATCAAATTAATCCGTGCAAGACACCCAAAAGTATGAAAAAAAAAATTTTACATGAAATATACATTTTCCTACACACAAAGAGAAGGATACATGCACAATAGTAGAGTAGTACATGCACAATATATATTGTGCATGTACTACTCTACTAAATGAAGAATAAATGACACTTACCTTTATTGAAATGCAGCAATGACTGGCATGAGATTTCCACTGTGACCTGGGAGTGTCCTGTTTCTCCCCTGAGTACTAGTAGGATCCCATGTATAGCATTTTCTTCCAGAACAGACCTTATCACACTGTCTATCCACTACGTATTCTTGAATCTCTCAAACCAACCTTTGCGGCTTTAAATTCACATGATGATGAGCACTAGTCCAGGCATTTTTCCCTGTACACCTGAGGGTGTATCGCAGCGCAGTGACGGTTGCATACCGCAGACAGATTAAGGACCTCACAGCATGGCAAATCACAGACAGCAACGATAACACGCACTTATTGGTATCCTGGGAGTGCTACAGCCCGGTTAAGCTGGAATGTGCTCAATAAGCCACACCAACAACGAGTGCTACAGCAGCAGCACTGACGGGGGAAACAGCAGCACAGACGATGCTACAGCAGCAGCAGCAGTACGATGGACAGCAGCACAGACGATGCTACAGCAGCAGCAGACGATGCTACAGCAGCAGCAGCAGCAGCACATGCACGACGGTGGTACAGCAGCAACAGACGATGCTACAGCAGCAGCAGACGATGCTACAGCAGCAGCAGACGATGCTACAGCAGCAGCAGCAGCTGACGGTGGTACAGCAGCAACAGAACGATGCTACAGCAGCAGCAGACGATGCTACCAGCAGCCAGCAGACGATGCTACAGCAGCAGCAGACGATGCTACAGCAGCAGCAGACGATGCTACAGCAGCAGCAGCAGCAGACGATGTACAGCAGCAGCAGACGATGCTACAGCAGCAGCAGACGATGCTACAGCAGCAGCAGACGATGCTACAGCAGCAGCAGACGATGCTACAGCAGCAGCAGACGATGCTACAGCAGCAGCAGACGATGCTACAGCAGCAGCAGACGATGCTACAGCAGCAGCAGCGGGACGATGCTACAGCAGCACAGACGATGCTACAGCAGCAGCAGACGATGCTACAGCAGCAGCACAGCACTGACGGTGTACAGCAGCAGCACAGAGACGATGCTACAGCAGCAACAGAACGATGTACAGCAGCAGCAGACTTGCTACAGCAGCAGCAGCAAGCAGCAGCTGTACCACCAATAGTAGCGATGGTTGATTGGGGTTCATTATACAACCTGGCCAGCTCGGAGACACGCACTCCACTTTCATACTTATCAATGATCTTTTTCTTCATCTCTATTGTAATTCTCACCCTTATTGCTGTAGGGTTGGCACTAGAAGCTTTCTTGGGGCCCATGGTCACTTATTTTCCAGAAAAAGCACCGAAAACACTGTAATAATGCGAAATATTCCGATTGTATGCTTGGATGTTACCGCGGAGGCTGGCTGGTAAACAATGCCACCAGCGGCACATGTGAGGCTGGCTGAGGGCGCACATTGGATGCGTCTCGGACGAAAATCGGTGAGCGGGTTTTTAAGCGGTATGCGAGGCAAAATTTTTGCGATTAAAGCAAGCGGTATGCGGATTAATCGTTATGTGATGCCATCGGTATGCGGGGGTCCACTGTATTATATTTCCCTACAACGTATTTATGCACCAAACATTTGCAATTTTTCGACATTTGCGAGGTTCTTAATCCCCTGACCCTTGCAAATGTGGTGGGAGACCTGTACATTTTTTAAGAATAACTATAGTTTTACATACAGAAAACAGTGAGAAAAAATATAAATAAATATTACATACCTTTATTGAAGACTCTTGTTGGCTTATGGAAGACAGGTAGGAGGAGCGTTTGTTTGGAGGCAGGACAAAATACTTCTTCAATATGATGCTAATATCAACAGTACAGCTTTCTTGTCTATCACAATTGATGTATATGACATGTTAAACAATATAAATAACATAGAAACCTGATATACACTCTAGAATGAATAAAATGTCATTACCTATGTCACGAGTGGTGGTGGGTTATCAGGGCCACTGGCAGTATAAGCCGTATAGTGGTAGTGGTGGCGGTTGTGGCGGTGTTGTCAGTGGCCCCATACACCTCTAATAACATTGGAGGAGTTAGTTTCGTGTCCTTTTTCTATCACTTAATCACTTAACTTACTTGCTATACTGTTAATGCTACACTTTATCGCTGGCTGGCGCTATGGCCTTTATCGACTCCTGCTGCCTTAGTATCATACATATTGTAGAATCGCTGCATCGCTGAAGAAGGCACATTCTCCCCTCTCTCTTCCTCCTCCACTGCCGTACTTTGCTACAATTTCTTTCTTCAGTTCTATCGTGTTTCGGTAATCTAGTACGTCGCTGAGTAAGGAAACTGTATTACTAAATTTAAAAAACTTTCATTTGTCTTTTTGGGCCACTCTGCCTTTGTAGGATACGGCCAGTTTGTTGAAAGAAGATAGTGCTTATTCATTTACTCAAGTCATTTTGATACAGTAATATCAATATTTTTGTCTGAATACAACACCAGATCATGGTCTCTAGAGCCAAATTAATTTCAGTAAGCTCTGCAATGGTTTAAAATTTGTTTCAAACATACAGTGAAAGATGTAGGAACATGATTTGTAAAAGTGAGTGTTTTGTATTTAGTTTTGGTTACTAGGTAACTAATATATACCAGGTCACTGCATGGGGTGCCCTTGGAAATGGGTAACGTTTTGAAAAAATATTGATCATAATTCTCATATTGAAGTGCAAGTGATATGATGAATGACTTGATTATAAATATTTTAATGTTTTTGTATGCTAAGCATCTCAATTTTTTTTCAGATCCCAAAATTGATCCACTTGCATAATTCAGCATCTGTACCACTTCACTCTGTATAAAGCCTGTTTGTATGAGAGAATGTCAACACCTTACTGATGTACTATATGTTAATAAACTAAATGTAGATTATTGATTGTTTTATTAGGTTCCTAGTGTATTAGTAAGGGGTCATGGGAAACAAAACAGTTGTCATTCATCTTTCTTACCAATGTTCATGCCAGAGGGATGAATTTAGTACTGCAGTTAACCCTTGATTAATTGGTGGGTTAAGTTCCTGAAAAATTAGTGACTTGAGGTGAGGAGACAATGGAAAAAAAAATGGAGGTACTTTTGAGAACTCCAAAATTACCTTTTTTTTTTTTTATTTTTTTATTATTATTATTATTATGCCATGTACAAAATAATTTACCTTATGTTTGAGTTGTCATTAATTGTTGACTTGGAAAAGTGTGGGGAGGGTAGATGTGACCATACAGGGCTGAGTTAGCTGGCAATGATTCTTGTGGATGCAGTTGTCAGTATTTGATGGTTATATTGATCTCTTGTCTGTTTTACCCTGCAGTGTTTTATACAGTTGATGTGAAGGCATCTTCAACTGCTCCAGACTCCTCACCAATAACATGGAATTGCTTATGCTGGACTTTGAGTCATGGTGGGGTGGAGATACATTGCAGTTTAACTTGTATCAGCATGCCTCTGGCAAGACAGTCGTGGAGTGAGTGATGACGAAAGCTTTTTTTTTTTTTCGGATCTCCCTGCTTCAGTGGGAAACGGCTCGTGTTAAAAAATAGGTGTTGCAGTGCTAACTGTATCTAAAAGTTAATCATCCTCTTTGTTAGGTACCTCTCTTAACTGGGAATTGAGCTCTTCCAGCATTTTTCCTGCAAGTTCTTCTAAGACACTCTTCTAATAGTTCCTTTGCATCATCTTATCCTTGAAGCCCTTTGTCTGTCCTTGCCAGAGCCACATTTTTTGGGGGGCCTGACTCTTGACTGGGAAAACCAAAGAAATTACTCACCATTACATGTATTGCAACAGTTACCCATCTGTCCTGTACAAAGACAACATAAATACTCTAGTATTGTTGTCTAGTTGATTTTTGATGGCCATGATATTCATTAGATAACTGCTTAATCTTTAAACTGTGGCAGACCAGGATAAAAATTCGTATGACAACATTTAAAAAAAAGTCTTACAATTTGAAAGGTCTTTTCTATGTAGACTTGATTAAAAATATCTGATAATAACTTGCTCTTTTGAAGGTGTTAAAGCTGGCAGAAACTGATAAGGATTCAGCATCATTGCCATGAATGCAAACTAGTATTTTTTCTAAAGCAGGTAGAGTTTTTTTTCTCTAACTCTAAATAAAACAATTTTAATGATTGGTAAATGTGTTGCAAGTTGTTTCAGTAGTAGAAACGTGGAGAATCCTGTTGCACTATATTTGCAGTTTCATTATTTTTACAAATTCTTATTTTTTCTTAAAGATGTGATATTCCTCAAATCATGCAGATAGGCAAAGTGCTATGTCATGCACCTTACAATAATATCTTGGTTTGGTTGTATGGAATTATGCAAACACAAGTAAAATATCTTGTGATCTCTTTTTGTGTAGAAGGAATATTTGAAGCTAAAATGAATCACTCCTCAACATGTCAGTGACCTGTTGATGGGGAGCCTCCTGGTATGTATATATAATCTATCTTGTAACAGAAAAATGGGAGTCGGTATTACATCTCATGCCACCGCAATGTCTGTATAATTGGCATGGATTACCTTCACTTCATTATTTGCCAACTGCTTTTTGAACGCTGGCTTATTTCTATTTCATCTCGCTGGCCTGCACAGAAATATGTATGTAGAACAGTAATAATTGTTTTTACTGTGCAGAAATTGTAAAATGAAGGGCTTGTATGTCAGTCAGCTGTAAATTGGGTATGTTCCTTGCCAATACATGTACAGTGGTCCCTCGTTTTTCGTAATTAATCCGTTCCTGGAGCCGTTACTATAAACGAAATTTACAATTTGCGAATAAATTTTCCCCATGAGAAATAATGTAAATACAATTAATCCGTTCCTGACACCCAGAAGTATTAAAACAAAAAATTTTTTTACATGAAATATGCATATAGTACATAAACAATACAATGGGAAATGCTGAATGAAACATTAACAGCATAACACTTACCTTTATCGGAGATTCTTCTTAGTGTATGGGAGACTGGAGGAGAAGAGAGATTGGATTGTTTACAGTTTGGAAGGGGAATCCCCTTCCAGCAACACCTCTGGTACCAATTGCTTCTCAGGGGTTGCTTCTCTGCTCTGTTTCTTAATGCCACTAGGACCACCTTGAGAGTCACTCTAGTCCTGTCTCGCAAAGTAACTGTGGAGAGAGCTCTGTTTCTGGCGTCTCTTTAACACTTCCCTAAAATGGCCCCAAGACTTTGTCACTGTACATATTTCTCACCTTTACCACAGGCTTGGCACTAGCAGCTTTCTTTGGAGCCATGGTAGCTTATTTAGTAATTGCAAGCACTAAAATGAGTGGAATATTATGAAATATTTCGTAGGAGCACTTGAGGGGACCTTCACTCACTGGTAAACAATGCCAGACTGGCTGGGTAGGGAGGCCGCCCCGGCTCACACCGTGCGTACGCGTCCCGGACGAACTACTATTCGCGAGTCAACCTATGAAAAGCGAGTCCATGTTTATACGAAAATACCCCTATGATTGGCGAAATTTATGATTGCCGAGAACTACGAAAAGCGAGGGACCACTGTATGTGCTATCATTTTCATGACATGATCACCAGATACTATGGTACCTTGACTTGAGAGTTTAATCTGTCCTGTGACCTAGCTCGTAACTCAATTTGTTTGTACAGTGGACCCTTAGTTATCGGCCATAATCCGTTCCAGAAGCTCAGCCTAAAACTGAAATATTTCCCATAAGAATTAATGCAAATACAATAATCTGTTCCAGACACCCAAAAGTATTCACAAAAAATATTTTTTTTAAAGATTAATTATAGTTTTATATACACAAAACAATGAGAACTAAATAAAATAAATACATCAACAATTAAATCAGTATTACATACCTTTATTGAAGACTTCTTGGCTTTGTCATGGAACTAGTCACTGGAACATCTAAGAATTTTGGAAATGAATCCACAATTGCTAAAAAATGTTTGCCCTCTACTGGGCCTGCATAGTTCATATGCATTTGAAGCCATGGTTTCCCTGTACTCAGCCAAGATACTCGAGGCTGAAAATTTTTAAAATTAATTGGACACTTGGTCAATTCCGTAATACCTTGGTCAATCTTTGGCCACCAGACCCACTTCCTGCTTTCATAGCATGGATACCATTATGGCCAACATGTAAATGCTCTGATATCTTGTATCTCAATTCTACCGGCACTACCACTCGATTCCTGTACGATAATACATCATGAGTAGTCAGATCTGATTTGACGAAAGTATAGTCGGATAAAGGTATGTACATTGTTCTTACACCACCCATATCTAACATTTACGACTTGGGATAACACAGTATCTTTCCCAGTTTGCTCTTTGATCTTCTCTAATGAGTTATCTTGGAAATCCAGACACTACTAATCTTACATATTCCGTTGGTGTACTTAACTTTAAACCATGTTCCTCCACAGGTAATCTATTTAATGCATTTGCAATGGCATTTCCTTACCAGCTTTGAATTACAATTCGTTATATTGAGCTAATAACAGAGCCCAATGCTGAAATATGTTTTCCTTTTCCAAATAAAGCTAGCAAATAAACTTTGATCAACAAACTTTCTTCCTAGCAAGAAATATCTGAATTTCTTAACAGCAAACATTAAAGCTAAATCTTCTTTGTCAAGTTGAGAATAACTGTTCTGCTGAAGAAGTTTCTTGCTAGCAAAATACACAGGTTTTTCCTAGTCATTTACTTTCTGGATTAACACACATCCAACACCTACAGAGAAAGCATCAACCTCAATTATTAATGGATGCTCTCCTGTCAACAAGGCTGACCACTCTAAGCCCTTTTTAATACTTTGACCAATCTCTTCTTCCACTGAAGACCACTCAAATTTAGCCTCTTGTTTTCAATAACCCATACAATGGTGCCAAAATTGAAGAGAAATTTATAATAAATTTACAATAATGTGTCACCATCCCCACAAATGACAACTTTCCCTATGGACTTAATGGATGGTAGCTTTACAATAGCCTGAGTCTTCTTGGCAGAAGGTTTAATACCTCCTGAAATCTCGTACCCCAGATATTCAACAGATCTGGTTTTCAGCACAAATTTATTCTTATTCAGCAGTACATTATGCTCTTGTAAAATCTTTAACACCTGCCCGAGCCTGACATCATACTCATCATCTGTTGCACCACAAATTACATCATCCAAATAGGATGCTATTCCTTCCAATCTAACAACTGGGAAATAAATTTTTGCAAGATACCAGGAGATAGTAATTAATATCCCCTGTGGATATTAATTACTAAAATTTGCATCCTCCGAATCCAATTTTGTAAATATTTTGCCTTTATCCACTAACAACAATAATTCTTCAGTCCTGGGTAAAGGACATCTTTCACAATGAATATGTTGATGTATTAAAAATCCCAACATGTCCTCGTAGATTTAGAGTCAGCCTTGAATACAGGTACAATAGGTGCAGACCACACATTATGGGAAATAGGCTCAATAATACCTCTCTTAAGTAGTTTTTCTAATTCTGCTTCAATCATTTCCTTGTGAAAAAATGGTACTGGCCTAACTTTCACGAACTTAGGGATAGTATCGCTTTTCACGTGAAGTGAGCAGTGCTGTATTCAAATTCAAATTCAAAGTTTATTCTCTATAAAGATTACAATGTTGAATTTACAGAATTTGGTTGTTGTGTGGTTTACATGTAGTTAAATAATGATTACAGAGTGCACCACTAGAACGCCTAGCATGGCTAGGCATTTCGGGCAGACTTAGTTTAATTGTTTATCTTAAAATATTACAAATTATGAGGTAAGTTGGTATTATGGCTAAGTGACTAAATACTAGTTTGTGAGTTTAGCAATGTGAATTCTTTTGTTTTGGCACAGTACATAGCTTCAGTAT